CTCTCTCTCTCTCTCTCTCTCTCTCACACACACACACACACACACACACACACACACACACTCTCTCTCTCTCTCTCTCTCTCTCTCACACACACACACACACACACACACACACACACACACACACACACACACACACACACACACACACAAACATACGCGCGCACGCACGCACGCACGCACCACACGCTTAAAACATCAGCAGCCTATAATGAAAAAGGAGAGCGACCATGTTTGATCATATAGTCAGGGTCCGATACACCATGAACAGTTATGAGATCATCAATCTAGGGCGCCATTGCATGTTGATGTTCACATGGAACATATGCACGTTCACCAAGGTAATGACATCCTAGACTCGTGACATTGTCTGTTTACGATGCTGATGATGGCAGGTCGCAGATCGTAGCTGGGGAGTACAGTTACAAGCGTTTCCCTAAGACATCTATTGTTGTTGCGTCGACCCAAGACAGTGATGAGTTGTTTGCTTACTGCTCACAGGTCGCGCCGGAGGCTGGAAGACTTACTTCACGGTTGCAGAGAGCGAGAAGATGGATAAGATCTACGAGGAGAAGTTCAGAGGAACGGGGCTTCAGCATTCATTCAATGTCTGATAAACCTGAAGATAAATGTTATAGTACAACGAAGAAGGCAAACGTAGCGATCCCAACCAGATAGACAAACATGCATCAAGAATTACTCCAATTTCTTCTTTGGTTAGTTGCCGAGTATAGTCTCAGACTTAGTAGCCGCAGTAGCTGATTAAATGCTCTAAAAGTAATGCATAGAGTATCCGGTAAAGTAGGCATTAATTGTGCTACATACAGAATTTTGTGGTTTATCGTTTATACTTAACATTTTTGCAAGAAATAAACTGTGTGCAAGAATTAAGACAAACGCTTTGTTAGCATTATTTTGGCTTTGCCATAGCTTATAAATAATAAACTTTATTGGCTATACATCTATACATTTTTATGTTTATTCATTACGAACTTTAAAGCTTAACATCAGGAGTGTATAATATAGAAAACATACTATTAAATATTATACATTCCTGTTATTATGCTATCGAACGACGGACAGGCTGCAGGCTGCCATGCTTCGGAGCAATTCCGGCCACATAAAAACAGGATGATGGGAATTCCAGATTTGACTGTTCAAAGTCAGTTCTGTTTGAAAGTTCAAGTATAAGATAAATGATATATAACAAGAGCAATCGGAGATAGCAAACCTCCGCCACAGCGTAGCAGTCCTCCCATCTTGCTGGTACACCCAATATAGAGTTTGATGAAATTTGCAGTTTTGATTTTGCTTTTAGGAAGTGTTGCGTTCATTTTGAGTTTCTGGTAGTATGAGTTTTGCTTGCTGGAAACTTTAGTTTACTTTCTGGCAGTCGGATTCAGTTTGACGCACCGTCCGATATACTGACGCAGATGTGTCGTTGTCGTATCAGGTACTACAGATATGTACCCGAGGTAGTTTTAGGTTGTTTAGTATTTATGTTTGTATTTTCATTATGAGCGTATTGTTTTAGGGTTAGCGAGTTAGGTTAGGGTTAGGCGCTAGGCGCTTAGGGTTAGTATAGTACACTTCTGTAGTACAAGTCTGGTACACTTTGTGTATACATATATGTACCTCGGGTACATATCTGTAGTACCTGATACGACAATGACAATTTCAACGACAACTTCAACGACAACGACAACTTCAGTTATACTGACCCCTGCAGCAGCATTAAATAAACGGGCCCCTGCAGCAACATGAAATAAACGGGATTCACTTTGCACTTGACGAGCATTATGTGCAATGCGCGTACGTTGCCATTACTTATATCATGCATTATGTTACATGCCGCCATGTCATGGTCGTTACAACATTCACCTGTGCACTGACTTGATTACTGAGTGCTGCAAGACTATTCTTCGATAGGTTTAGATAGATAGGATAGATTCGGGCATCTGGGATCCGGATGACACGCCAAATCTAACCGATTGGTTCTGCCCAAAAGCAATCCGCCCCCATAAATTTTATCAAAATCCGTCCGTAACTTTTTAAAATATCCTGATGACAGACAAACCAACAAACCAACAAACTAACAGGTGCAAAAACATAACCTCCCTGGCGGCGGTAAAGATATAAAGAGGCGTGTGTTTAGGTCTATGTCAATACGACACGGGGTATACAGGCGGTGATGCGGAATTGGCAATCTACGGGGCAGAGAGGCTACGATGCTTCTTACATAATGTTAAAGAGTTCAGCTCCAAGCAGTACCCGATAACACAGTGCGTAGTTCCGTCAGCCTTTTACTCTTAGGGTGATCAAACGAGGAAGGTTGGTTATACCAGCCCGCCTTCATCACAGACAGGATTAGAAATATAGTCTAGACGTTTTATGTGGAGAACAGCGCAGCCCGCATTACCGACTCATCATTGTGGTTATAAGAGTGCACTATGTTACTGGAGGACATATGTTACCCTTCATGAACCAGGTGGAGAACATGAAGTGTAGGGACGACGACGTATTTGTGTGCAGCTGGCCGAAAACTGGTAAGTGAGTTTGTGAGTGTTAAAGCGACTCGGTACTGGTTTAGAAAACCCCACGTGCAAACGTTATCGTCATTCGTCATACATCATGCATCCCCATGCCCCATATACTATCTCGTAACACTCACCCTAACCCATAAAACTACCCTTAACCCATAACACTCACCCTGACCCCATAACACGAACACTGACCCATAACACCAACTCTAACCCATAACACTAAACTTAACCCATAACACTAACACTACCCATAAACACTCACACTAACCCATAACACTTGATCACCCTATCCCATATCACAAACCTAACCCAGAACACTCACCGTGACCCATAACACTAACACTAACCCATAACACTAACTCTAACCCAAAACACTAAACTTAACCCATAACACTAACAACTAGAGCACTCGGAGAGCGCAGACCTCCGCCAAGGCAGCTGAATTCTCTCACTGTACAGAATTTTTATTAATTAATTAATTTAATTAAATTAATTAATTGCATTTCCCCGGGAAAAATTTCACCAGGCCGGCCAAAATGTAATCAATTCTAAGTTACCCATTTCTGACCTATGCCTGAAAAATGTCTTAATTAATGACCGGCATCACTACCAAACTGTAATCAATGCTAAGATTACCCTATTTCTGAAAACCTATCCTGAAATTTAATTTTANCGAATGCGGATCACCAACCAAACATCTAGATCAGTTCTAAGTTAGCCCATTTCTTGACCTATCTTGAAATTTATGACAATCCGTCCGGCATAACCTTTTTCAAGTTGAGGCTGTATCACAAACAGAAACAAACACCCACAAACCAGACAAACACACCGGTGAAACGACATAACCTCTGCCAACCCATTGCCCCTTGGCGGAGATAATAATTCCCACAACACTAACACAAGCACTAACTCTAACTCTAGCACATAACACTAACACTAACAGTAACCCTAACGCTAACCCATAACTCTAGCCCATAACACTAATCCTAAAACTAACACTAACCCATAACCCTAACACTAATCCATAACAGTAACGCTAACCCTATCACTAACTCTAATCCATAACACTAACCCTAACCCATATCCTTAACGGGGATTGATATTGCCTTCTTATTATTATTGCGAGGGCCTGTAGACTTGACAAGCTCGGGCTCGGAAAAAACTGTGTGTGTGTGCGTGCGTGCGTGCGTGCGTGTGTGTGTGTGTGTGTGTGTGTGTGTGTGTGTGTGTGTGTGTGTGTGTGTGTGTGTGTGTG